GAAGAAGGAGGAGACAGGCTGTTTCACCCACACCAAATTTTTACCTGTCCACAGTTGCCACCATTATGGCTGCAGCTTGTCACGACTGCGCCCACAGTTCCTCAATGATGAAAGGTCCAAACGCTTCACAGATTCAGCTTTCCTTATGATTTTGCTGCTGAGGAGCTTGAAAAAAGTCCATGTGCTGAAATATTGTCTGGATATTTACCTTGTTATAATTGCGATATCTCATTCCACAATACAATTGCCATTACAATGAATAATTTACGCTTTTGGTTAACAACAGATAAAAAAGGATTATCGATGTACGAAAGAAAACCCACTGCTTTGCTTTTCTTTGAATTGTTACTGTTAAGAAACCACCTTTGTGATAGAACAGAAATTATACTTGTTTGTGTGTGTATTTGTTAAAATTTGGTTTATAATCCCATGGTGTGAATGATAGATTAAATATGAAGTAGTTTGGCCATTGATAAGATCATAGAATAATGCATACAGAAAATCCCTCACTCAACAGGGGTGGAGGACTTAGATACAATTTGCCTCCTATTTATCTTCTTTCATTTGTCCCCAGAAAGATCAGGACCACATCCACCAGAAAGACCACTGTTAACAATAGAGATGGGGACAAATTTAAAAAAATGACAATTTGTTTTGATTTGTGATTCATCAAGGTTAACGACTCAATGAATAAGAATATACTAAAAATTTTTGACGAATTGACAAATTAATTTGTAGATTTATCTTTGATTTAAATGGCTGTAAAACTGCCCCCCTAAGCACCTAGACACACCAGATTTGCAGAGAGGTTTCCTCAGACACTTTTCTACAACTTCTGAAAGTTTGGTGAAGGTAGGGAAAGGATGGGAGTGTGGGGGTAGGCTGTGGGGTTGGGTGGCTGTGGGAGTGGTGGCTGCCTATCCCCCGATGATCAGCTGATCGGCAGCCGGTAGGCAGAATGTTTTTTTTAATACGAAGGACGAATAAAAACGGGTAAATATTCATCCGTTTGTATTCATGGGGGGCTCTGGAACCCACGAATATGAAGGGATGAATATTTAACGAATCAGCTATTTTCATAGAAAAAGCCGATCCGTTTTTATATTCATCCCCATTTCTAGTTAACGAGCATCAATGACCCATGGGAATGGGTGGAGAAGGGCTGCAGAAGTGGGATTACCCCTCACCCCTAGTCCTTTGTCCTTCTAACAACTGCTATTCAGACCAGGGGGAAGTGAAACCAACATGGAGGATATATCAGGCATCTCCTACCAACTCTCCTCAGACTGAAGAAGCTACTTGGATGAGTTGTGAAACATTTCAATCTAATAAGAAAGAAGTCCAGTTGCCATGATTCAATTTCCAGAACACCTGGACGACTAAGAATCTTCACAGAGAGAATAATGGAGTTGGAAGGGACCTAGAAGGCCATAGAGCCCAACCCTCTGCTCAATGCTTCCAGTAGCATTGATTCAATTATTACATGTCCTGCTAGGAGATACTAGTTGAGGCAGGCCATCATGGCAGGGTGAGGCAGAATTTCAAGGATCACCCACTAGAACTGCAAAGTCATCCCCTTTCAACATAGTTGGATGCAAATTAAAGGTACAACCATCTGTATGTTTTGTTTCCTAAACAATTCAGGGTTTTTAAAGCATGATTTTGTGCTATCCCATTAGTAAATCCCTTCGCAATTTATTCCTAATAAAACCTCTATGTAGCTGGTTGGATAGCTGAGTTAGTTATCTGGCAATGGAGTCAGATGTTGCAAGTTTCGGTCCCCACTATGCATTCCAGGAGAAGTCTTGGGCAAGCTGCACAGTCCCAGGGCACAAAAGAGAATGGCAAAACACTTCTACAGTGGTGCCTTGCAAGACGGGCACTCCGTTTAACGACAAATCCGCATTACGACGGGTTTTTTGAGATTGCAAAAGCGATCGCAAAACGACGTTTTGAATGGGGGAATTTTGCTGTGCGATGATCAGTTCCTTGTTTTGGGAACTGATTTTCGCTTCCTAATGATCAAAACAGCTGATCGTCGGGTGCTCAAAATGGCTCCCCACTGTGTTTAGGAGCCATTTTTTGCTGCACAGGCATCCGAAAATGGCCGCCCCTGTGGAGGATCTTCGCTGGACGATGAGTTCTTAGCCGATTGGAACGCATTAATCAGGTTTTAATGCGTTTCAATGGCTTTTTTATTTTTGCTTTATGACGTTTTCATTCTACAGCGATTTCGCTGGAACGAATTAATGTCGTAATGCGAGGCACCACTGTATTTTATAGTTAGAAAAGCCTGGAAAAGGTTGCCAGAAATAAAAATTCAACTTGATGACTTTAGCTATGACTAACAACAACAATAGCTCTGCATACTTACACGTGTTTCTCCCATTATATATCACGTTTTCATTCTACAGCGATTTCGCTGGAACGAATTAATGTCGTAATGCGAGGCACCACTGTATTTTATAGTTAGAAAAGCCTGAAAAAGGTTTCCAGAAATCAAAATTCAACTCGATGACTTTAGCTATGACTAACAACAATAGCAGCTCTCGACACTTACAGGTGTTTCTCCCATTATACATCTTTTTTTTGCAAAATGCATGCATTTTTGTACATTACAAGAAATGTACATTTGGAACATTACAAGAAATGTGTACAAAAATGTAAAAAAAATAAGGCAAGGGTGGGCAACCTTATTTGGATATGGGTGCATGGGACTCCCCCAACACCTCTGTGGTCTGGTAACACCAGAGTCTCCATGTCATCTGATTCCCATCTTGTCTGAGACCATGACTTACTGTACATCTTGTGCAGTGAAAGCCACATGGATTGCAACTGCCCTGATCAAGTCTCGCAGCTAGAACCACATTGTGCTGCTTTACCCCACAGACATCTTCTCCATGGACATTGAAGGCCGTAACAAAAGTCCTCAGATTTGCCCCTGGCTGGCATCTCCTGAAGTTCTGTGCATGTCAAAGCTTCAAAACAGAACTGAACAGTGTAGAACCATGCTTATTTCCATCCGGAGACAGGTCTCAGACTTGGAACTGGTCTTTCTAGACGTATTTCCAGCTGAGTGAGTCATGTTTATATTGTCAAGTTAGCACAATGTACTTATTCTTTTTCGCACACTGTGTCTTCCTCGAGAGGAGCAATGCATCACGAGTTCCTGGCATCTTCTCAGGACCAATAATGTACAAGGGTTACGTGTCGCTCTATCACTGATGCTTTAAATAGATGACCAGTCAGCCTTCCAAAAGGCTTCATGGTTGTCTGGTGTGTTTTGAGCTCAGCTTGAGATCCCAGTGAAGTCTCAACGATCAAGATGGGCTGCTTTTCCATTCTTGTCCTCTTGGGCTTACTCTTGTTCTCTGCAGGTAAGCCGGGCATTAAAATAAAAATAATACAGATACTTGTGAGAAAGCTGTTCAGAAAAAGGCCCCTGCCGTATGACTAGTCACACAGCCGGTCACACATCCAGTATGAGACCAGACATGCAGGACTGAACAGAAGGTAAAAGCTTATGCTAAAAAGCTTATGCCTCAGAAGATCCTGGCCATATATTGTAAGACTATAATATATGAGTGCTGAGCAGTAGCTGAAGATGGTTTAGAACTGATAGCCACCTTGGGCAAGATGATAGATGTCAAGGTAAATTTAGAGGCCTGAGCAGATTAAGGTGTGTTAATGAGCAACCATAATGAACAGGTGTGTAGAAATGCTGAGTCATGATGACTCATGAGGGCTGACTCATGTATGATGCAATGCCTAATGTGATTGGACACAGATAGATGTGCATAAGTATATACAGTGGTGCCTCGCATAGCGAGGTTAATCCGTTCCGGATTAACCTTCGCTATGTGAAAACTTCACTAAGCGGAAAGTAAAAAGCCATTGGAACGCATTAAACATCGTTTAATGTGTTCCAAATTGACACAAAACTCACCATTTAGCGAAGTTTCCAGGGTCCGGCAGCCATTTTCGCGCCCTTGGTAAGCGAGGGGAGGGCGCGAAAACGCTGCGCGTGGCCATTTCGGGCGTCCGGTGGCCATTTTGGAGCCGCCGAACAGCTGATTTTCGGGCGTCACAAAGTGAAGATCGGTAAGCGAAACGCTTACCGATCTTCACTATGCGAGTTTCGCCCATTGGGGCCGACCCTATGCCTCTGCATTAGCGATCCCGGAAAAGGGATTGCTATGCGGATTCATCGCTATACAAGGCGCTCGTTAAGCGAGGGACCACTGTATGTGTACTCTGTACAGTAGATGTACTTCCTCCTGTTCTGATGAGTGTTACGCTGCCAGACTGCACTGCTGTATATAGCCTGTAAATACACACTGGTGTTGGTGACGCTGCCTGCGTTTGCGTGATTCTTTAGGACTGCCTGGACTGGACTTTATTCTGCTAACTCTGCTACCATTTCCATGTTCTTATGCTAACAATAGATTAGGACTCCAGCCTTTACATAGAAATAACTGTAAGAGAACACAGCGACATGCATGCATGCACAGACACACACTCACGAACTAAATAAGGAGAAAGAGAGAGACACTTTGCAGATAACATTGCTCAACCCATTCAAATGTGGATGCTATAATTGAGGCAGTCCCTGTAAAATGTAGTTTTGGCTTCTTTTTGGAGGATACATTATATAAACAATCCTACTGTATGAAATGCTTGCAATTTTATTGTTTTTTTAAAAAATGTTTTAAAAGTGTGTTATAAACTTGTCCCAATTCTGGGAGAAAGGTCACGTAGAAAGAAAGAAAGAAAGAAAGAAAGAAAGAAAGAAAGAAAGAAAGAAAGAAAGAAAGAAAGAAAGAAAGAAAGAAAGAAAGAAAGAAAGAAAGAAAGAAAGAAAGAAAGAAAGAATAGAAAGAGACAATAATAGTTAGAAACTTTTTTTCTCAGATATTAACAACAACAACTTGCAGAAAAAGAGCCCTGATATTTGATTTGTGTTTGGGTGAGAACTGTTTAGCTTATGAAAGAAGGAGTCAAGTTCTGGGATTTTCCATTGCTTGGTGTCCCTTCATGAATGTTAAAGAGCACAAGAGGGGATCCACCAGACCACATTGACCGCAGTCATTGGTGTCTCCAGCATTCAGGATGACAACATTCAGGCTGATCTTTGCTATGTAAACCTTGGCGTCTTTTTTTCTGCTGGCAACACAGGCATGATATTGCAGAGCAATGCTGGACACTTTTTTCATGTTTCGAATTGTGGATACACAAGCAAAGTCCAACATGTGGTAGATCCTGCCTCTCAAGCAAACCTTTCTATAATATGTATTTTCTCTTTTACTTGTACAGGTCTCACAGAAGGACGATTCTCCTTTAAAGAGTGTGAAAGCTATGGGGGTAGTTGCCACATGTGGGGGTGTCCAGGAAACACACACCTCGGAAACTGTAATATCTACAACATGGTTTGCTGTTCAAAGTAAGTTGAAATAGGTGGTAGCATGTGAAGAACAATGGGAAACCCCATTGTATGGCATGAATTTTATTTTCTGTTGCATTTATTTCTTTAATGTATTTACATACCACTCAATTCACAATACCTTCAGGGATGTGTGCAAACATATATATATATCTATTATATATATTATATATATATCACACCAGCCACCATTCTGGACACCGCATTCTAGATCTACTGTAGTCTCCGTGTTTACATGTTTTTGATTAGAAATTTGAAATCTTATTGACCCCACAGCTATAAATACTCAACTATTCCACAAACTACACCAGAACACAGACAGAGTTCTAACTCCTGTCCTCTGAAGATGCCCGCCACAGAGACTGGTGAAACGTTAGGAAGGAAAACCTTCAGAACACGCCCAAACAGCCTGAAAAACCTATAACAATCAAAATTGACAAGTCCCAAGTCTGAATCTGGGTCTTTGGTACCAAGATCCAAGCCCCAAGCGCCAAATTTGAGTCTGTATTATAAACAAGTTTTTTTTTCTGCAGAAAAAAGGGAAGGGTGGGTGGGTTTTGAGGCATGAAGTGTATTTGAGACATTTTAAAAAAGCAACAACCTCAAGTTGAATCTGAATCAATCGAGTAACTGGTGTGACTTAAGTTTATTTTGACAGTGATTCCCGCAACTTGAACACCCATCCTGCTACATACGTGCACACATATTGATAAGCAAGGCAGCTCAAAACTTAAAAAAAAAAAACATCAGTGGGAGATGGTGACATTATGATGGTCAATCAATAAAACATTAAGACATTAAGAGCTGACGCTCCCAAAGACTTTGGTGAATAGCCTTGTTTTGAGCATCCTCTTAAAACCAATGAAGAAGTCGGCCAGTGGAGGAAACTCCACTGGGAATCCATTCAAAAGGGATGGGGCCATGACAGAGAAGTCCCTGTTTTGTGTTGTTGACTTCCTGGCCTGCCTTGGAGTGGCAAGCTGAAGGAGTATGGGTGGCGTGGGTCGATGTTCTTAGGGAGAGGTAAAGGTAAAGGTAAAGGTTCGCCTTGACAATTTTTGTCCAGTCGTGTTCAACTCTAGGGGGCGGTGCTCATCCCCGTTTCCAAGCCATAGAGCCAGCGTTTTGTCTGAAGACAATCTTCCGTGGTCACGTGGCCAGTGCGACTTAGACACGGAACACTGTTACCTTCCCACCAAGGTGGTCCCTATTAATCTACTTGCATTTGCATGCTTTTGAACCGCTAGGTTGGCGGGAGCTGGGACAAGCGACGGGAGCTCCCTCCATCACATGGATTTGATCTTACGACTGCTGGTCTTCTGACCCTGCAGCACAGAGGCTTCTGCGGTTTAGCCCACAGCCCCACCACGTCCCATGGTGGCGCTGCAGGAGAGACACTCTGACAAATACCAAGCTCCCAAACTGTACTAGATTTTCAACAGTTCTAGTAGGGAAACCTATATCCTGATTCCTTGAATATGCTTAGAAGAAGTCATTTCATTCCTCCAGTATTTTCTGGATTTTCATGTATCATATCCCGTGTTTTCTTTTTCAGGGTAGTTGAATCTTAAGCGAACAAGGAGCTGTGACAATGGGGTTCCAGTAATCACATGGTTACCAAAGAAGAAGCTATGCTGTGCTTATTGCCTAAATGTAGAGTAGAAGGACAATTGCAGAAATGCCCACCCCCATGCTAGCCCGTTTCTGACTCTAGGGGGCAGTGCTCATCCCTGTCTCCAAGCCGTAGAGCCAGCGTTTGTCCATAGGCAGTTTCCGTGGTCACGTGGCCAGCGCGACTAGACACAGATCGCCATTACCTTCCCAACAAGGTGGTACCTATTTATCTACTCACATTTTACATGCTTTCAAACTGCTAGGTTGGCATGAGCTGGTACAAGAGATGGGAGCTCACTCCGTTGCGTGGATTCGATCTTACGACTGCTGGTCTTTGACTTTGCAGCACTGAGGTTTCTGTGGTTTAACCCACAGCGCCACCATGTCCCACGTTCTGGGAGGCGGAATCCCACCTCCCAGAACCAGACCTTACAGACTTCTAAACTGTGGTCACCTGGAGAGAAGACTCAACCAGCAGGCTTCAGGCCTGAGATAGGCCTAATTTCCTGTTTGACAAGAAAGATGGTTGCTCGGTAGCCTCTTTTTCAAACAGGAAGCTAGGCCTAGCCAAGCCTGCCAGTTGGGCCTTCAGTCCAGGTGAGCGCAATTTAGATGCCTGTGGGATCTGACAGGTGGGACTCCCAGAAAGAAGAATTATGAGATATGTAGTACACAAAATCCAAAACACTCATCCCTAGTTGCTAGGTCAGCAGCATGCCAGTCCTGAGATCACAAGGTCAACCCCTAAGTATAGACTGTCTTGATATCACAGAACAGACTCTTGTGATACTGGGGGTGTGATATTGTTAAGCTTTTTTTATTCATGCAGGTAACCTCTACCAATAGGCCATTGTTACAACTGTGTTTTGCCCAGTCTTTAGCTCAAGTGTCTTGGCAGAGATGTAAAACAGACCCAGATCGAAGCCTGCCAGTAGGCTCTGGCTTCATATGAGGGACATCAGCTCTCAGACATAGGCCTCCTCTCAACCAGTAAGCTGCTACACCAGGGGTAGGTCCTGCGGCCAATTTCCTGCCTGTAGGACACTGTAGTGTAGAGGCTACACAGAGTGACACATTGTAAAAGAAGTGAAAACAGATATCTCTAGAAGTCCACTCATAGCTTTGAGAAATGCAGTATTTGAGGGCGTTAATCACTGCAGGGTTATGTAGAAAGAGGTAAATCACAGCTTAGGGCAATTCCCAGGAGCTGAAATTCACCAGGTCAGTAAATAGAATGTTTACCTTACCCCGCTCCTTTAGACTATGTCTACTCAGGGTGGCTTACATAGATAAAATACCATTGCTGTTCCCGCTGCTGCTCAACTGAGTAGGACAGTCCATTATCTGTGGCCTACTTCTTGCCCCAGTGCTTCCTGGGAGGCTTAGGATACTGTGCGTATTCTACCATTCCCAACAATCTTTCAGATATTCCAAGACGGCTATCATATCTTCCCTCAGTCTTCTTTTACTCAAGTCTAAACCTGCTTCGCAGCCAGGAATACCTAAGCCAATCAGTTGGACAGGGGGTTAATAAAGGAATAATAATGGGTGCCATTGAGTTCTAAAATATTGTTCTGTGGTCCTTCATTTCTTTAATCGTGTCAGAGTGTTGCACAGCTAAAATTAGTAAAGGTAAAGGTTCCCCTTTACAATTCTTTTTGTCCAGTCGTGTTCAACTCTAGGGGGCGGTGCTCATCCCCGTTTCCAAGCCATAGAGCCAGCGTTTGTCCGAAGACAATCTTTCCGTGGTCACATGGCCAGTGCGACTTAGACACGGAACGCTGTTACCTTCCCACCGAGGTGGTCCCTATTAATCTACTTGCATTTGCATGCTTTCGAACCGCTAGGTTGGCGGGAGCTGGGACAAGCGACGGGAGCTCACTCCGTCGCGTGGATTCGATCTTACGACTGCTTGGCTTTCTGATCCTGCAGCACAGGCTTCTGTGGTTTAGCCCACAGCGCCACCACATCCCACGTTCATTTCTTTAATCGTGTCAGCGTATTGCACAGCTAAAAATTATGAACATATTAAAAAATATATTTAAAATTCCAACAAATTAAAATCTTAAGATAATTGCTCTATTTTCAACTAAGTGCGGGCTACTTCAGTAGCATTATCTCAGCTTTTTACTAGATCTTCTTTTGCACACATAGTGAGGCATAAAGTGCATGCCCATACATGCTGCGTGGATTGAATTGATCCACATATAGAGAAAATTTGTCCTGTATCCAAGGAGCACCATTTTACTTAATTCTTCTTTGGTCTTCCTACTTTGCTTTGAAGTCTATTAAGTGGCTTCCAGATGGTCCAGCCAGAATCTTGTCCTGGTGGGAGACACTCTTGGGCATGTTTTGACATCACTTTTCATAACGAAGTGCCCACATAAGCTCCTTCTGTTCCATTTTGTCTTTTATCTTATCACTGTGTGAAAAAGGAATGTCCTGCTGCAAAAGGCAATACATACAACTTTGGTGGGTGAGTAGAAGTACAAAGCCGTGGTCCTGTGGATTCTTCTGGCCTCTGATAATGCCAAGTCCTTTAATCACATTTTCAGTTCTTTTAATCATGTTTCCTTCATAGACAGCCCTCTTCGTCATGGACTGCTTTGATATATTCATGTTCTGTTGTGCTCTGTTGCTTTTAAATGTGTTTTTACTATTGATTTCTCTTTCCCTTTTAAAGATAATACTTGATTAATTGTTTTTAAATATTTATATACTTGCTGTTTTTAGCTTTTTAATATTGTCCTCTTCATTAATGCAAGCTGCCTTGGGTCCTTTTAAGGAGAATGGCGGAGTAAAAATACTCCAGAGAAATAAATAATAAATGCTATTACAGTGGTGCCTCACTTAATGATGTTAATTGGTTCAAAAAAATCCCATCACTATGGGAAAACATCGCTAAGAGAAACACCATTTCCCATAGAGATGCATTGAAAACTGGTTAATCCGTTCCAATGGGAACAGATTGCCGTCCTTAAGTGAAAATCTCCATAGGAAACATTGATACAATGCTTCCCCCATTGGAATGCATTGAAGCCTATTCAATGCATTTCAATGGCTTTCTGATGTCCGTTTTTGCAATTTTAAGTGTGTCTTAAAAGATTCAAAAATGGTTTTAAATGCTTGGGATCGTTAGTTCACCTTCTAAAACGTGTGCAAACTTAATTTGGCTTTGATCTGACTCTTCGTTAATTTTTGGTGAATTTTTTTTCTCCCCCATTGGAAAGCATTGAACCCAATTTTGACAGCTGTCAAACTTAGGTTCAATGCATTTCAATGGGGGGGAAAAATCACCAAAAATTAACAAAGAGTCAGAACAAAGCCAAATTAAGTTTGCACA